CTCCCCAATAGAACATTTATGGGACGAGTTGGACAGAAGGATAAGACTTCGGCTGAATCCTCCAGTCAACGTCGCTCAGTTGGCGTTGGCGCTGGAGGAGGAATGGAATCGTATACCAATGAGGAGGGTTAATACCCCAATCAATTCAATGCACAAAAGAGTGTGTGCAGTTACTGCAGCTCGCAAGGGGGCACACACGATACTGATGGGTCCAGAACGCACATCATTTTGAGTGAGGTACTCTTGAAAGGTTAACTTAACATACACGAATGAAATTCTCGTAGATGACAGAGTGGTCAACTATCTTCCAGTTACACCATAATTACATTCTAAAACCCTTTTCTATTTCCTGTATTTGACCTGGAAATTCCTAATTGCGTTTCTTTTTCCTCTCAGTATACATGCACTACACAAATGCCAGTACTCAAAACAGAATTCTATGCAACAGGCCCTAATATCAAGACCATTGGCCTTTTGGTTTGTGAGAAGAAGTTGCTTACACATTGAAACACATTTGACCCAAGTGGCCTTAAAAGTGGATCAAAGTGGATACTGTTCTAAAGATGCTATGGTAAAGAACCTGACATAGAACTGAAGTTCTGTCTTCAGGGTCTATGGTAAAGAACCTGATATAGAACTGAATTTCTGTCTTCTCAGTCTATGGTAAAGGACCTGACATAGAACCGAAGTTCTGTCTTCTGAGTCTAAGGTAAAGAACCTGACATAGAACTGAAGTTCTGTCTTCTGAGTCTATGGTAAAGAAACCGACATAGAACTGAAGTTCCGTCTTCAGAGTCTATGGTAAAGAACCTGACATAGAACTGAAGTTCTGTCTTCTGAGTCTATGGTAAAGAAACCGACATAGAACTGAAGTTCCGTCTTCTGAGTCTATGGTAAAGAACCTGACATAGAACTGAAGTTCCGTCTTCTGAGTCTATGGTAAAGAACCTGACATAGAACTGAAGTTCCGTCTTCTGAGTCTATGGTAAAGAACCTGACATAGAACTGAAGTTCCGTCTTCAGAGTCTGAAGTTCTGTCTTCTGAGTCTATGGTAAAGAAACCGACATAGAACTGAAGTTCCGTCTTCAGAGTCTATGGTAAAGAACCTGACATAGAACTGAAGTTCCGTCTTCTGAGTCTGAAGTTCTGTCTTCAGAGTCTATGGTAAAGAACCTGACATAGAACTGAATTTCTGTCTTCTCAGTCTATGGTAAAGAACCTGACATAGAACTGAATTTCTGTCTTCTCAGTCTATGGTAAAGGACCTGACATAGAACTGAAGTTCCGTCTTCTGAGTCTAAGGTAAAGAACCTGACATAGAACTGAAGTTCTGTCTTCTGAGTCTATGGTAAAGAACCTGACATAGAACTGAAGTTCTGTCTTCTGAGTCTATGGTAAAGAAACCGACATAGAACTGAAGTTCCGTCTTCAGAGTCTATGGTAAAGAACCTGACATAGAACTGAAGTTCTGTCTTCTCAGTCTATGGTAAAGGACCTGACATAGAACTGAAGTTCCGTCTTCTGAGTCTATGGTAAAGAACCTGACATAGAACTGAATTTCTGTCTTCTCAGTCTATGGTAAAGAAACCGACATAGAACTGAAGTTCCGTCTTCTGAGTCTATGGTAAAGAACCTGACATAGAACTGAAGTTCTGTCTTCTGAGTCTATGGTAAAGAAACCGACATAGAACTGAAGTTCTGTCTTCTGAGTCTATGGTAAAGAACCTGACATAGAACTGAAGTTCCGTCTTCTGAGTCTATGGTAAAGAACCTGACATAGAACTGAAGTTCCGTCTTCTGAGTCTATGGTAAAGAAACCGACATAGAACTGAAGTTCCGTCTTCAGAGTCTATGGTAAAGAAACCGACATAGAACTGAAGTTCCGTCTTCAGAGTCTATGGTAAAGAAACCGACATAGAACTGAAGTTCCGTCTTCAGAGTCTATGGTAAAGAACCTGACATAGAACTGAAGTTCCGTCTTCTGAGTCTATGGTAAAGAACCTGACATAGAACTGAAGTTCCGTCTTCTGAGTCTATGGTAAAGAACCTGACATAGAATTGAAGTTCCGTCTTCTGAGTCTATGGTAAAGAACCTGACATAGAACTGAAGTTCCGTCTTCAGAGTCTATGGTAAAGAACCTGACATAGAACTGAAGTTCCGTCTTCTGAGTCTATGGTAAAGAACCTGACATAGAACTGAAGTTCCGTCTTCTGAGTCTATGGTAAAGAACCTGACATAGAACTGAAGTTCCGTCTTCTGAGTCTATGGTAAAGAACCTGACATAGAACTGAAGTTCCGTCTTCTGAGTCTATGGTAAAGAACCTGACATAGAACTGAAGTTCCGTCTTCTGAGTCTATGGTAAAGAACCTGACATAGAACTGAAGTTTCGTCTTCTGAGTCTATGGTAAAGAACCTGACATAGAACTGAAGTTCCGTCTTCTGAGTCTATGGTAAAGAACCTGACATAGAACTGAATTTCCGTCTTCTCAGTCTATGGTAAAGAACCTGACATAGAACTGAATTTCTGTCTTCTCAGTCTATGGTAAAGGACCTGACATAGAACTGAAGTTCCGTCTTCTGAGTCTAAGGTAAAGAACCTGACATAGAACTGAATTTCTGTCTTCTCAGTCTATGGTAAAGAACCTGACATAGAACTGAAGTTCTGTCTTCTGAGTCTATGGTAAAGAACCTGACATAGAACTGAATTTCTGTCTTCTCAGTCTATGGTAAAGAACCTGACATAGAACTGAAGTTCTGTCTTCTGAGTCTATGGTAAAGAAACCGACATAGAACTGAAGTTCCGTCTTCTGAGTCTGCGGTAAAGAACCTGACATAGAACTGAAGTTCCGTCTTCTGAGTCTATGGTAAAGAACCTGACATAGAACTGAAGTTCCGTCTTCTGAGTCTATGGTAAAGAAACCTGACATAGAACTGAAGTTCCGTCTTCTGAGTCTATGGTAAAGAACCTGACATAGAACTGAAGTTCCGTCTTCTGAGTCTATGGTAAAGAACCTGACATAGAACTGAAGTTCCGTCTTCTGAGTCTATGGTAAAGAACCTGACATAGAACTGAATTTCTGTCTTCTCAGTCTATGGTAAAGGACCTGACATAGAACTGAAGTTCCGTCTTCTGAGTCTAAGGTAAAGAACCTGACATAGAACTGAATTTCTGTCTTCTCAGTCTATGGTAAAGAACCTGACATAGAACTGAAGTTCTGTCTTCTGAGTCTATGGTAAAGAACCTGACATAGAACTGAAGTTCCGTCTTCTGAGTCTATGGTAAAGAACCTGACATAGAACTGAAGTTCTGTCTTCAGAGTCTATGGTAAAGAACCTGACATAGAACTGAAGTTCCGTCTTCTGAGTCTATGGTAAAGAACCTGACATAGAACTGAAGTTCCGTCTTCAGAGTCTATGGTAAAGAACCTGACATAGAACTGAAGTTCCGTCTTCTGAGTCTATGGTAAAAAAACCTGACATAGAACTGAAGTTCTGTCTGAGGATTTGATTCTAGTTCCCACTGGCATTAGAACAGATTCTTCAATACTGGTCTGAACTTTTTTGTTAAGATATTACTGAAGACTATGGCCCTAACTCTAGAAAAAATATATGATCCAAACAAATTGACTGAGTGTTTAAGAAAGTTTTCAAGAATCAAAGGTCCCATATAGACCTTGGAACTGACCATTTATTTGTAACATCGTCATTAGCTAACCATGTGTTTAATCACATCGAAAACTATTCGGCTGGTAACCACGTTAAGTGTAGATGGAATCATGATCATGGTGAAGCCAGTAAAAATGTCATTGTTAACAATATTAATTTGTTAAATAATTGTGTAACTAATTCTGACTTGTCATGTGTAGAAGGAATAGAAAGTTGTGTTACGTCATTTGTTGACAACATCACTAGTTTAATGGCAGAATTCCATAAAGTACGCCAACCAAGTAATACTGTTGTAAATAAATGTACAAACATCAATGATGCTTCAGAGGACAAACCCTGGTTTGATCGTACATATAAAAATTTGTATAAAAAGTATATAGGTGCATTGAAATGTTTTAACATGTGTAAAACTGCTGTAAACCACACCAAACTTGTGTCATGTAAATGTATATACAAAATTACTGAAAATAGATTTAAAAGGACTTATAAGCATGCTGAAGACAACATGGCTGAGTACCTGCGAAAATATAATCCAAAATGTTATTATGCTCACTTCAATAAGAAAAAAAAGAGTAAATCTTCAAATGTATCTTTAGATAGTTTTTATGAGTATTTCAAGGGTTTAGCTAGTGACGTCACTGATCAACACACTACCGTAAATGATAACGTATTAAATGATGATATTGTTTTTCATGAACTTGAAAACTGTATAACTTCCACGGAAGTCAAAACAGCTATTGCCAAGCTGAACAAAGAAAAAAGTCAAGGCTCTGATGTTTTGAATGAATATTTCATTGAATTTTGTGGCTATTTATTGCCTTCTCTTACCACTATTTTTAATGCAATTTTCACTATAGGGTATTTCCCGAAAATATTGAGTAATGCTTTAATTGTACCTGTTTACAAGAAAGGTGACTCTTCTATTCCATGTAATTTTAGAGGAATTAGTTTGTTAAGTTGTATGACTAAGTTATTTACATCTGTATTAAATACAAGACTACTAAAGTGGGCCGAAAATAATGACGTTTTAACAGATGCTCAGTTTGGTTTTCAATCAGAAATGCTGTTAAGTCTATATATACCAACATAAAATCAACCTATGACATAGATTTAATTTTAAACAACTGCATCACTTCTATAAATAAGTGGAAATTTCTACACCAAAATCTGATTTCTGGAAAAATAATTTGGAACCAAAAATAACTTGGAAATCCCAGAATCTCACGGGAAATTTTCAGTTTCACTATCTGTTACTATATATGGATAACATGTGGTGAAATCTGATGAGTTGAGTTTTTGGGACCAGAGGTTTCAGTAGCGTTGAGGTGGACAACATATCAATATATACTTGAGTGTTAAATATTTTAACATATTATTCATTAAGACAATTAAGGTAAGTTTTATTGTTTTATTTTTTAGATGTTTGGCTTCCCTGGCAGAACTGTACTTTGTAATTATTGAAAACAACACTAGTTAAGTCAGCAAAACACCACACATAATCTCTATTAATATTTTAGACTATTAATACCTTGAGAATTATGGAATATTTGACACAAAAGACGTCAATTGGGCTGTAAAAATATCATTTTTATCACATGTTTGGTTTTTATAATTTATTTCAAACTTCAAAAAAAATATCTATAAATTCAAAACTTTTTGAAAAATTGAAAAATTCAAATTTATGACAAAGATCCAATTTTTCTAAGAGGATCAATTTTTGCTGTTACAAATTCAGGCAAAGCATATTTATTATCCAAAACAGTGTATTCTCATATCTAAGAAAACATTACAAGCATAAATATATGTCTTATATAGTAAACTTCAGAAAAGAATATATTTTCTTTGTCATTTATCCTTTATCTTTAAAAGCATAGATAAATATTTTCCTCCTTTTTCCAAAAAGACGACTAAAAATCTTTCATCCTTTATCCAAAAGCATAGTTTTAAGATATCACTCCTGATATTCCACAATTATGAACAAACAAAACACCTACATCCAAGAATAACACTAGTGGTATACGATTACATTCTTCCTTTTCTTTATACTCCAAACATGATATAAAATTTGACATCTTGGTTAATTATGCCAACAGTATTGAACAAAATAACATCCAACAGAGGAATTCATCTGTAATAAGACTTTCTAAAAATCTCGTGAAATGAAACTGAAAGATAAAACTTTTCTCAGAACTTTGGTGTTTTGGAAAGGGAGACAATTTTCACTGTAGAGATGCTTTGTAAATCAGGATGTTCTGAAAGGTATATGAATTATCTACAATATCATTGTGATCATAAGTCCTCTGAGCTTGGAGAATAAAGATGCAAAATAATGCTAAAGGTTACAACAGGGACTATAATCCCAAAACATATTCCTCCCCATCCTGAATCAAACAAGAACACACATTTGAGATAATTACAATTTCATTTTCTTTACACCCAAAACATAATATCAGATAAGTTCGCTTTATTAGATAACTACAAAATAATGAGCAAAATAACATCTCCAATGAGTCAATTTCTGAAATTCTGACAGTGAAACAGAAAGCTTAATTACAGCAGTTGTTTTTCTGAGAATTTTAACAGCATGTTAGAAGGGAGATAACTCTTACTGAAGCAACAGAAAGCTTAATTAAAGCAGTTGTTTTTCTGATAATTTTAACAGTGTGTTATAAGGGAGATAACTCTTACTAAAGCAGCCCTTCAGATTACATTGCTGAAAGATTTCTGAATTTAAAAATATCAAAGGGATAAATCTTTGTTATGAAACATTAAAATGACTGGCAAATAAGTGACTGAAGTCAGAAACAAATCAGAATTTAAGTGTATGTGGATATAATTATATCTAGTATAGATACATCAATACTGTTTTGCTTGAAACTTAAGATTACCAGCTAAGAGAATACTCCTGACAGTTAAGTATGCTACAAAGACATAATCAGGAACCAATGACTGAAATTTATGCCTCAACTTTCACTTCTTACAAAAATCATCTGCGATATAAAACCGATCGTTTAACTGTTACATTTTATTAAAAACATGATCAATGTAAAATATGTAGAAAAGACAGGATTTATCCTAGGATATAACTCACTTCATTGAAGAGTCATTTACATAGGTAATATTCAGATGTACCTGTACTAAGATCCTAATTGTTACTCTAAAACTTTTTTTCAGATTCCTTCAGTCATCCTAAGCAACATCATGGCCAATATGAGCTGTTGGAAGCTATCAGTTTTACTGATATCAGTCTCAGTTAACCTTTTTGATTTGTTTTGTGACTGGTGGTTCTACAGGGAACAGTTGTTGGTCAAAGACGGCTTAGTATTTGGACCATATGAACAGGACATCACCAAAGCTACTTTAACATTCTGTATCATAGCCTCAGTGACAATTGTTCCAGAAGTCAGTCTGGACTTTGTAAAATACTTCAAGGATAGTGACAAGGTGGAGCTAGCAGTGAAGATTGTTGCTGCTATAACATTATTGATAGAAGATCTTCCTCAGATAGCAATCAACATTCATGTTGCATTATGCAGAGAAGAGGCGACCAACGTTGTTCAGTTGGTGAAGGCTTCTGCAGCCATTACTGAAGTTTCAATGAAGTTAATCCTTATTGCTATTCAACTCTTTAGGAATAAAAGCAAAGAAGACCAAAAGCCAAAATCAAAGTGGAGAAGAGGATTGAAGATTTTTACTTTCATTCTTCTATTCATCATTCTTGCACTTTCAATTACATTGCTCTGTATTACTGCAGCATCACACAAGTCTAGTAAAAGTGAGAGTCTAGACAAGGAGAAATCCGACCGTTACCTTGAAGGTGTTGGTATGTTTATGAAGTTACCACCTGCAAATATTCAGACACCAGACATGGCAGAGGACCAGTGGATAATGCTGACACCAATCATTAATATAACTAAATTGTCAGTTCCCGCAGACGGCCTGTTTCTCAGCGTAATGTTAACTTCAGGACCACTCCAATACATCTGGGTAAGGAAACACTTCCCTGGAAATCCAGAATCCCTGTCCTGTTTCAGTGGGAATTCCACAACATCAATGCTCCTCCCTCCAAAGGAATGTTCTGACATTCCATTTAGCACTATGAACACTACAACTGTATCCATACGCTTCACTTACATTTCTCCAAATATCTTCCAGCCAATGGGAGACATCCACTTTAACACAGAGCTCCGTCAGGAGTTTGACCAAATATTAACAAATGAAACTGTGGTGTTGAAATATTTCAAGGTTAAAGCAGAAGTGAAGGGCGACCTTGCTTTAGTAATGCGGGGATATGGAGAAGGGTACCACTTCTACAGTGATAGGACTGACTTATTGCCAATACGTGAAGTGTGGAAGACTGGAACTAATAATTGTGCACATACGGGACGAGAATCACCTAAACAGGACAAGAACCTGTTTGTGAGATGTGTGTTTTGATACTGAGGAGGCTTTGTAGGAGGGAGGGGCATAAAACACCAAAAAGTAAACAGTTTAATTCTCCATTGATTGATAAACACAACCTTCCCCAGGTAAAGTGACTATTTCTATCCTATTAAATTTACTTGATGTGTGTAATGGTGAAGAATCAAGGGCTGTAACAGTGATGACATTGTCACCTTCACCTTCCTGAACAGCCCAGCCTCTGTCCATTTGAAAAACACTTTGACGACAGATCAAACAAACCAAAAGAAAATATTTCACATGAACTGACATACTTTGATAAAGATTTGTATAAAGATTTTTAAATCAACAGCATCATAATAGACGAGGTTTATAGTGTACGATTTGACAAAATTGAACTGTAACTGATATGTCATACTAAAATTTATGAACAGTTGATTTTTCTATCTTAAAAACCGTATCTTTACAATTTTTTAGTCATGGTTCAACATTTTTGCATTGAAATAATTATATTTATTCTATTTTGTTATTAGTGAATGATGACATGGATATTTTGGTCAAGATTTGTCCATCATTATGTACATTCATTACATTGAGTTTTTCAACATATTATCAAAGTATACTCAGGCAAGCTGAAAAATGAAATATACTACAAATACTCCCACATACTGATCTTTTCATTTCAAATGTAATCTGTTGTGGAATATATGTAAATAAACAATTGATACAAGACTGTATTTTATGTGTCAAGAATATAATTATGTGTGGCTCGAGAGTATTTATGCACTTACCAAATGTTGTGAATGATAAAGCTTATTAAACAGCTTTGTTTGTTTGGCATTGACCTCCCTCTCTTCCTCCATCCCACCCATGATTGAATAACTCCTTCCTCCACTCCACCCATGACTGAATTACCCCTTCCTCCACCCCACCTAGGTCTGAATTTCCCCTTCCTCCACCTCACCTAGGGATGAATTACCCCTTCCTCCACCCCACCTAGGGATGAATTACCCCTTCCTCCACCCCACCTAGGACTGAATTACCCCTTCCTCCACCCCACCTAGGACTGAATTACCCCTTCCTCCACCCACCTAGGACTGAATTACCCCTTCCTCCACCCCACCTAGGGCTGAATTACCCCTTCCTCCACCCCACCTAGGACTGAATTACCCCTTCCTCCACCCCACCTAAGACTGAATTACCCCTTCCTCCACCACACCTAGGACTGAATTACCCCTTCCTCCACCCCACCTAGGACTGAATTACCCCTTCCTCCACCCCACCTAGGACTGAATTACCCCTTCCTCCACCCCACCTAGGACTGAATTACCCCTTCCTCCACCCCACCTAGGACTGAATTACCCCTTCCTCCACCCCACCTAGGACTGAAATACCCCTTCCACCACCCCACCTAGGACTGAATTACCCCTTCCTCCACCCCACATAGGACTGAATTACCCCTTCCTCCACCCCACCTATGACTGAATTACCCCTTTCTCCACCCCACCTAGGACTGAATTACCCCTTCCTCCACCCCACCTAGGACTGAATTACCCCTTCCTCCACCCCACCTAGGACTGAATTACCCCTTACTCCTCCCCACCTAGGACTGAATGACCCCTTCCTCCACCCCACCTAGGACTGAATTACCCCTTCCTCCACCCCACCTAGGACTGAATTACCCCTTACTCCTCTCCACCTAGGACTGAATTACCCCTTACTCCTCTCCACCTAGGACTGAATTACCCCTTACTCCTCTCCACCTAGGACTGAATTACCCCTTCCTCCACCCCACCTAGGACTGAATTACCCCTTCCTCCACCCCACCTAGGACTGAATTACCCCTTCCTCCACCCCACCTAGGACTGAATTACCCCTTCCTCCACCCCACCTAGGGCTGAATTACCCCTTCCTCCACCCACCTAGGACTGAATTACCCCTTCCTCCACCCCACCTAGGACTGAATTACCCCTTACTCCACCCCACCTAGGACTGAATTACCTCTTCCTCCACCCCACCTTGGACTGAATTACCCCTTCCTCCACCCCACCTCGGACTGAATTACCTCTTCCTCCACCCCACCTAGGACTGAATTACCCCTTACTCCTCTCCACCTAGGACTGAAACCCCTACCCCACCTAGGACTGAATTACCCCTTCCTCCACCCCACCTAGGACTGAATTACCCCTTCCTCCACCCCACCTAGGACTGAATTACCCCTTCCTCCACCCCACCTAGGACTGAATTACCCCTTCCTCCACCCCACCTAGGACTGAATTACCCCTTCCTCCACCCCACCTAGGACTGAATTACCCCTTCCTCCACCCCACCTCCACCCCAGGACTGAATTACCCCTTCCTCCCCCCCACCTAGGACTGAATTACCCCTTCCTCCACCCCACCTAGGACTGAATTACCCCTTCCTCCACCCCACCTAGGACTGAATTACCCCTTCCTCCACCCCACCTAGGACTGAATTACCCCTTCCTCCACCCCACCTAGGACTGAATTACCCCGTCCTCCACCCCACCTAGGACTGAATTACCCCTTCCTCCACCCCACCTAGGACTGAATTACCCCTTCCTCCACCCCACCTAGGACTGAATTACCCCTTCCTCCTCCCCACCCCCTACCCCACCTAGGACTGAATTACCCCTTCCTCCTCCCCACCTAGGACTGAATTACCCCTTCCTCCACCCCACCTAGGACTGAATTACCCCTTACTCCACCCCACCTAGGACTGAATTACCCCTTACTCCACCCCACCTAGGACTGAATTACCCCTTACTCCACCCCACCTAGGACTGAATTACCCCTTCCTCCACCCCACCTAGGACTGAATTACCCCTTCCTCCACCCCACCTAGGACTGAATTACCCCTTCCTCCACCCCACCTAGGACTGAATTACCCCTTCCTCCACCCCACCTAGGACTGAATTACCCCTTCCTCCACCCCACCTAGGACTGAATTACCCCTTACTCCACCCCACCTAGGACTGAATTACCCCTTCCTCCACCCCACCTAGGACTGAATTACCCCTTACTCCACCCCACCTAGGACTGAATTACCCCTTCCTCCACCCCACCTAGGACTGAATTGTCTTTCCTAACTACCAAACCAAATTCTCAAGCAAGAGACAGTCAATGCAGATTGATATTTTAAAGATGGCCCAATGTTTGAGTATTTTATAATGTAGTTGATGTAGTATGATTTAAAACTTTATTCATATGAAAACTTGTGATATCAAATGTTTGAATGATTATATCTGAAAATGTGCTAACAATTTTTTTTTTAAAATATTAGTTTGATGTAGATGCTATTTGCTTTCTCATCTCCAATTAAGCTTAATGCAACCATGTAATTTCCATGATAGTTAAGTGTGCTATGATTATGATAGAGCCTGTTGCATTCCTGTGAACACACTTATTTTAGCACAATCAAATTTAAGTCATTTCAATTCTGAATAAAGAAGTGCAATGATGAATTTGCGCTTTCACAATAATTGCCATATTGTCCATATACGGAAATTGCAATTAGCACAGTTAGATTTCAGTGCAGTATTTTAGGCTCAAAAGTGCTAAAATATGATTATCACTAAAATATGTATATTACCAGTATCATTGTTTTTTACTTGATTTGATTTTGTGTTTCTTTAGTGTCATATTGTATATATCATTGTGTAATTTGTAAATGAAATCTGACTTGTGTGTAGCTACTCTACTTCTCGTGTGTCCCTCAATTCATGGAGGATACTTAAAAGGCAAACAAAACTTGGCTTGAACCAAGTTACAGGATGACATTCCAGATTGGTAGCAGTGAATCTTGAAGAGTTGTTCAGGACACATGACCCAAAGGTCATGAGATCTTAAAAAGAACTGACCAGTATTTCTTGAGAAATTTCAATAATATATTTCTACTGCCAAGAAAATCTAAGATGGCAAATTGTAGTTATCATATTCTATTGATTAGTAATATACACAATGACTTAGAACATACTGCATTGATTGACAGCAGATCAACTGTCACTACCATAGCAGAATCAGTGCTTTGCAGGTTACCATGGAAAACTTCAATACTGGATTACTTGGATATTCTTGGAAGACAAGTACAGCGTTGGCTAAATCTGTCCTCCAACTTACAATAACTGGCACAGACACTGAACAAGAAGTGAGATGCCATTTCAGCTCACGTTTATGATATACAGGCTTTATGTGCCAACAGCCAACAGTGATCACAAAACACCATTCTTAAGAGACAAGACCACCACATGTCACGTACATCATGCAAATTACCAAACCATCAGGCATATTGATCAGCATTTTAACATCCATTACCAGATTTTTACTATATTTCATTGAAACCTGACATAGCTACTGCTGATACAAGTCCTGATAATCTGTTTTTATCTATTAAGTATATATATACATTTTTAAAAATTCTATTATATTTTGACAAAAGAACTGTTGGTAATAGACCTACCTGTTTAAAAATAAAGATCTTCAAATAACAACATATGAGATAGAAAAATCCTAAACAAAGTCCCGTTTCAATCTGTAATTATTCACAAAATAATAACAAAAATGTGTGTCTCAAATATCTCCTCTTACAAATATTATCACAGATATAAATATTTTTTATCAAGAAGAGATTCATCTGATTTAGTTTCCAGAAATTGCTTCACCTAAAACAAACGAAAAGCGTTTAGAGGAATCAAATCTATTTCCCCTATTTTAGACCCCACTCCTCTGCTCCCTAAGAAACAAATGCATTGCTTACGGAAACCAATGCACAACACACAACGAAAGACAGACAGGGATTGCAATAGGTTACCCTGAGCTTTGTCTCAGGTGGCCAAAAAATAAAACAGTTAATTAACTGCCAACAAAAATCAGAAAAAACCAACAAAGATTATTTCAGATGTTAATTAAAATGTAAATTAAGATTTAAAATTAAATCTATATGTTATATTGAAAATGACCCACGTGTTAATTCTTAAAAAATATGACAAGTCAATGATAGCTATAAGATAAGTTGACCACAGACAGACAGAAAACATTTGGGACAGCCCACCATTTGATGGTAGTTTTAATAAAAGGCGCAGTGGTCAATCACAACAGGCGAAGAGGCTGGGTTCATCAATTTATTTGTCGACCGGTTTCGCCCCTTATTGGGGCTTCATCAGGACAACATAATATCAAATTTCGACACCTAACGTACATAAAATGAGGAGACATAATCAATTGTTCACTTATGACGTATGTCCAAGCGACATAACTCCATAACGGTTACATACATATAATGTTATA